AAAAAAAAAAATTCAAAGGCGATGTCCCCAACCGCAAAAGGGGGTTGATAACAACGCCTAGCGGCTCTGGTGTCTGTGAGGGCGGTCCCACATGTGCACCGTTCAGAGTGCCTGGCTCAGAGCTGTCACCTGCACCCACGCCACTAGTTCTGTCATGGCCATGACTCCGGATGAGAAGCCGGGAAGGTTGAGCCGACTGACGGTAAATCAGCAGTTCTCGACTTGGCCGCGTGTCGGGATCACCTGGGGGAACTCAAAAAAATACCCCTGCCTGGGGGAAGAGCCACCCCTGGGGGTTCCGGCTTCGTTGGTGGGGGTTGCAGTCTGGGCAGTGGATGTAGCAAAGCTCCCAAGTGATTCTAACGCGCACCCAGGACTGAGAGCTACGACCCTGAACAGTTTGCAAATGAAATGTTCTCGCAGCTCTGGTCTACGGCTGCAGAACGTTCTTTTAGGAGAGACTGCTAGAAGGTCTTAAAGCCAACCAGATTCCCTGTACCTTCCTTACAAAGGTCATGTTGAACTTGGGGGCCGTTCAAGGCTCTCCCAGCGTCTGCACTTGTCCAGGGTCCCCAAGGGTTTGGAACCTGATAAAAGCGAGGTTCCCTGTGACGTGTGCATGTTTCTCATAAAGTTCTACATGCAGAAATTGGCTTCAGCGACAAAGAAAAGGAAAGCAAACTTGTTTGAACAAAAGGAGTTTCTCTTCCTTCGAGCCACGCCAGCTTATAAGCCTCCACAAAGCAGGGAAGGCAGCTCCTCCTTTCGCTCGCAGACACTGATAGACTCCGTGCCTACCAGAGTGGTTCACCGTCAAGACAAACGGCGTGCACTCCCTGGCCAGGAGTCCTAAGCCCTTAAACTACCTGCGGTCCACATCAAAGCTCCAGGATATGCAGAACTTTCTCGCAGCACCCGAGCCACCACCATGAGGACCTGCCTGCGGAGACCCAGTCGTCTGGACCAAGCTGTCCAATGGCTCTTGCTTTTGGCCGTGTTGATCTCCTTATTCTTTGTCCTTCCCTCCTTCGTTAAGGAACCCGATACGAAACCTTTCAGGTAAGGTTCTGGCCCCTTTCCCAATGCCTCAGAATTTATTAGAGGAAACTTGAAAGCCTCTCGTCCAGGGAAGCCTGGGGAACCTGCTGCACCCACACGGGGGTAGGCAGGGGTCAGGGATGTTGTCAAGAAACACTGGCAAGAAAGATCCCAGGGGGCCTCTGGGGGACAAGCAGGTGTCAGGGGTGGGAAAACCAAGGGGTCCGGATGCCTTGGGGCTGGTAGAGGGGACACGTGGGCAGGAGTCTGAGAACGAGGAGTCTGGGTCTCTGGAAGGTATAGACAGAAAATGCCTTCCCCCTCTGGGACCGTGAATGATAATAGCAGCTTTGGGGTGAGTTCTTACATGCCATTCGCTGTGTCCTAAAGCACAAGATTTACCCCGTGGATTCCATGCACTTCAAATTTTATTTTTTTTAACGTTTTTTTATTTATTTTTGAGACAGAGAGAGACAGAGTGTGAGTGGAGGAGGGGCAGAGAGAGGGAGACACAAATTCCGAAACAGGCTCCAGGCTCTGAGCGGTCAGCACAGAGCCCGACACGGGGCTCGAACTCACGGACCGCGAGATCATGACCTGAGCCGAAGTCGACCGCTTAACCGACTGAGCCACCCAGGCGCCCCGATTCCATGCACTTCAAAATCACACTCTCCCCGTGGAGTTTGTCCGAAAATGACCTCTCCCCCCAAAAAAACGAAAAGAAAAGAAAAAAGAAAAGAAAAGGAAAGAAAAGAACCTCTCCCTTCGCTTAATTCTGGCCCCCAAGTTCATCCTTACATACAAATCTAGTCCCATCAGACGCCATCACATCAACTCTGAAAAAGCTACCGTAACAGGTGTGAACGTTGACTCTCTCCTCGGTCACCACACTAGATCACTAATGCTTTTGAAGTTTCTAGAAACTGAGAGGTGAAAATATGTTTCTCTTTTGACTTTGCACTTCTCAGGCCACCGTGAATTTGAGGATCCTCTGACGTGTGCTGACCATTTACATTTTTTCTAACTAAGTCAGCCAGCTGTCACCACCACTTGTCTTTTTCTAGGGAATGGCTGGGTCATATCTCTTGCTTCCCCACCCCCCAAAAAAGGAAGCGAAATTATTTCTCTTTTATTTAACGATAGGAGATAGGAATTTTTTGTGTATTAGGGATATTAACCCTTTTCTATCGTAGATGTAACAATACTTGAAATGTTTTCTTCAGGCTGATGTTTGTTTTTATTGCCTTGTTTGTGCTATCTCACATGACACAACTCCTTATGTAGGTGAAATCTATTTATCATTTCCTTTATGGCCACTGGACTTTGTGCAATTTGGGGGAAAGTCTGTCCCACCCCAAAATTTTATAAATTGCCATATATATATAGTGATGTATACATATATATACATTAGTGAATATATATACATTAGTGAACACACAGTGTAGACTTAGGTTCAGGAGTAGAACCCAGTGGTTCATCACTTACAAGTGCTCATCCCAGCGAGTGCCCTCCTTAATGCCCATCGCCCAT